GGCTGCTGCACGGAGCTCGCAGAAGACAAAGTTGGTGGAGAGCGGCGGCGGGGAGCGCGTCTGTTCCGCATCACAGCCTCTGTTTTTCATCCCTCGTCCTATTCCCGCCTTGCTTTGAGGGTGGGGTGGGGACCGCTCGGATGCTAGGTGAGGCGATAGCTCGGGGGAAGCCCATCGCCCCGGCGTGAGTCTCCTCACGTCGCCCCTTCTTGGGGTCCAGGGACACCTCGGATGGAGGCGAGCCTCTTTTTCCAGCTCTAACTTTGGTATGCGTTTAATCTATGAAATTAACACCATCGCCTTACTCTGGGGCAGCGCTTGACAGTTTGAGACGCGGTCGCTTTTTTCATTCCGACCCCTCAGGTCGAGTGCTTTCCCCCTCGGCGGGTGTGCCAGTCAGTCTGCTGATAGGGACTTCAATGTCCGAGGAATTCCTCAATCTCAAGGCCCGGTGAGCAGAGTAGCCTGTGGGGATTAGCTAGGGAATGCGTTCTTCCCAAGGGGGCTTTTCCGATGGAATTTGAAGGTGATCTGCAGCCACGGGAACATGTCGACAAACTAATCCTGACTTTGAAAGGCCTGAAGGAGCTGGGATAATGCAGCCTGGTTCTTTGAGAATTCTGAGATAACAAGGTGAACAGCTTCTAAAGGGTGTGACTTCCCCCTAGGACCAAGTCTTGCCAGATGGCTTTTTTACCGAACAACTTGTAGAACAGTGGTCAGCGGGCATTACTGACCCTGAGAATTTAGCATAGAATTGAGGTTAGACACACAGGAGCCTCGTAGTGCACACCCATGGGGTGGTTGGTGGTTAAGGGACCCCCTGGGGGAACATCGGTCCCAGGAGTGGTTTGAGTGAAGCAAGGAAAGCTGTTGGAGCCTTTGGGTGAGGTGTGGGGTCTGGGCTTGAGAGCAATGTTTTGTTAACTAAGACTCACAAATGTACATTGGCTTTTAGTATCTTTTTAAAAATCTTCTTTGATTTAGACTAATCTGGAACTCTCCATGTAGCCAGACAAGTGAAGCTGGAAGAGTTCCAGACCAGCCTGGCCTATACAGTGAGATCCAGTCTTAATAAAAGGGAGTGAGGGACTTATAGACCAGAATAGGCTCTAGATTGAAACACAGATCTGTGTAATAATAATAGGGCTGTTGGGCTGGAAAGATAGCTCTAAATGTGCACTGCTCCTGCAGGAGACCCAGGTACAGTTCCCACCCCTGTCAAGCAAAAGGCAATTTACTGTTTTATGTATATAAGTGTATGTCTGTATACCACCTGCATGCCGGGTGCTCAAGGAAGCCAGAGGAGTTGGATCTCCTGGAGTTTTAACTTGTAGCCATGTTATGGGTGCTGGGAATCAAACCCATAACCTCAGGAAGAACAGCCATGCTTTTAGCCATGGAGCCTTCTCTCACTAGGTTCGGGAGATCTGACATTCTGGCTTCCCAAAGCACCTGTGCCTGGCTACATACACAGAGGCCACATGCACACATAATTTTTTAAAGTTTTTTGTTGTTGTTGTTGTTATTGTTTTAGGCTAAAACTGAGCCTGGCATGGTGGTGCACACCTGTAGTCCCAGCACTTGGGAGGCAGACGCAGGTGGATCTCTTGAGTTCAAGGCCAGCCTGGTCTAGAAAAAGAATAAAACCTTTGGTAGTTTAAGGGGTATAGTCTTCCTGGGCTGGGCCCTCCATGGCATAATAGCAAACTGAGGTGACTTGTGTGAATGGGAGGTGACGGTGATGCCAGAGATGTGAGTCTTTTCTCTAGCCGTGTTGTGGCTGTCTGTTTCAGGCCCAGCACACGCACTTTCTCCTGGCAATTTTTATTTATTTTTTGTAGTTTTGCTTGTGGGACTTGAGGTCAGAAAAGAAAACCACTTGTGATGTTGCCTAATACTAACACTCAGTTTTATGGTCTGATCTTGGTAATGAGTCTTTCATTTTTTTAATCAAAGGAAAAAGTGAGTAGAGATCCTAGGTGTACCACTAAGTCAGGTAGGATTGGGTCTTTGGTGGTGAGAAACAGTTCTTGGGGACTGGAATTTCAGGCTTTTTGTTTGTCGTCCATCTACTGATTTTTGAATATTTTACATAGTTCTGTCCAAAGTATGTGGTGTGTATTTCAGCTGCCACCCTGCACTTCTAGCAAGCGTTCTCTTCTGAAGGACACAGGGTAGTCAGAACGTACACCCAGTGAAATGTGCTCCCACCTGTCAAAAAACAAAAGCATAGGTCTTCGGCCCTTAAATTTGTTGTTGTTTCCTCGTGGCTTGAGAGATGGCTCCCTGGTTCAGTTCGTAGCACCCACATGGCAGCTCACACTGTCTGTAACTCCAGTTCCAGGGGACCCAACATCCATGGCAAAACTTTAATATGCATGAAAAGAAAACCAGGAAACTCTCTCTCTCTGTAGACCAGGCTGACCTGGAACTCCCAGAGATTCGCCTGCCTCTGCTGGGAGTAAAGATTTATGCCACTAGACCTAGCTTAGCTAAGGTTTGAAAACATAATTACATTTTATGCTATGTGAGTGGTAAAAATTCTTAAAAAATTTTAATACATTTTGATCATTTACTTGTGTGTATGAGTGTCTGGGGATTCACCAGTACCATAGTGTGAGTGTGGAGGTCAGAGGAAGCATTCGGGAGCGGATTCTCACCACCATGTGTGTCTTGGGTGTTGAACTCAGATTGTCAGGCTTAGTGGCAAGCACCTTCCCCTCCTAAGCCATTGTGCTAGTTCAATATCAATTTTATAATCTCATAATTATAACCAAAACTGGATAGTATGCAGGCCATGACTTGGAGCTTCTTCATAGAAGCAATAGTGTCTGCCAGTTGGTGGTGGCTCACTCCTTTAATCCTAGCACTCAGAAGGCAGAGGCAGGTGGATCTCTGAGTTTGAGATGAGCCTGGTCTACAGAGCGAGTTCCAGGTCTGCCAGGGCTACACAGAGAAATCCTATCTGTCTTGAAAAGGAAGAAAAGAAAAGAAAAAGAAACAGTAGTGTCAGCTTTATCATCTTTACTCTGGAAAGGGAGACATGGTACAGATAATAAAGTAATGGAGAGTGTAAATATAGGTCTAGTTAGAAGTATGATACCAGCAACGGGGTGATTTCTTTGGTAACTGATTTATCTTCCTGATTGTTTCTCCAGAACTGGGAAAGTTCTCTGTAATCACAGTGATGTCCTTAGGTAACCTTGATCCTGAGGGCGGGGGCTGTAGCTGTTGCACTGGAGCTTGACTGGCATACTGGGGCTTGGTTGTATCTCCAGCATGGCCAAGACACCTGCCCCAAACAGTCTTGGAACAGTCTTAGACATACAACTTCCTAATTGCTATTCATGGGCAAATGGAATACTAACAATACTTCTAAAAGTACTTCATAATTTCAGCTCTCACTGCAAGTTTAAGACCAGCTAAAGCTACACAGAGAGGTCCTACTAAACAAACAAAATGAGGGATGAAGAGATGGCTCAGTGGTTAAGGGCACGGGCTGCTCTTCCAGAGGACCAGGGTTCATTTCCCTTCCCTCCAAAACACCAAGTTCTAGAATATGCCAGCAGATGCTGGGAAAGAACTCCCATGTACTTCTGGATTCCAGGCAAACTGGTCCATTACCCCCCCCAATCAAAAAAAATCACATGGGGAATAGTTGTTGATTGGGTTAATTTGATCTCTATCTAATTCATACCCTCCCAAACAAAAAACATCACATGGTGAATAGTTGTTGATTGGGTTAATTTGATCTCTAATTTCTCTTCATGTCCTAAGAAATTCTAACAATCCTGCTTTGCAGCAAGAGGTAGCCTGTTCCCGTTCCCACCCCTCCTTGCCAACGTCGGCTGGCATGGGCACCCACTGTTTTGAATCTAAGTATTTGAGCCAGAGAAGAAGGTGATGAGCAGAGAACTTGTATGCAGAAGCTTGGGGGCGGGGACCTAAAGGGTTAAATCATTAGGTGTATTCCCATTCAGACTGCCAGGGAGGTGATAGCCTGGGGTGAGTCAGCCTGCACTGTGGACTGCGGCTGTGCTGGGAGACCAGCCTCCAGAAAACCAGGGAGAAACTGCCTTTGATAACACAAGAAGACTGATATGCAGGGTGTTCCCTGGGCTTTATTTACTCTGAAATGTGTAGGTGTGACTAACTTTTTGAGAGCTTTAGATATGAGTCACCTGATTTTTCTTGACAAATGTTAGTGTTTACATCTCAGGAATGTGTTTTGGGAACTTTTTTAAGAGTAAGATGTGACCAGTGAATTTTTTGTTTTAATGTCAAACCGTGAGTTGTGAGTAATGCATGCAAGAGGAGGGTCAGCAGTAGGGAGAGAAAAGGCTGGATGGCCGGCAGGGTGCTCTGGGTCGCTGTTGGTGGTGAATGCCTGTTGGGATGGCCGCCTTTCTCTGCCTGGCACCTGCTGCTCCTCTGCAACATTCGTGTTTCCTGGCTATCTTAGGAATTTAGACAGAAAGCAACTCTGGCCGTCAAACATGTTTAGCCAACGTTTACTTTACACTCTTTTTTGGATGGAAAGGCTTGAACATGTCAAGTTCATACTCTACCACTGAGCTATGTACTTTTCCAGCCTGAAGTTAAAAAATAGTAGGATTTAAACCACCCCCCAGCCATGAGCCAAAGCCCCTCCCTCCCCCCCCAAAGTGTTTTGTGTGTGTGTTCCTGGTGCCCTTGGAGGTCAGAAGGCATCAGATCCCACAGAACTGGAGTCAGAGGTAGTTGCGAGCTGCCGTGAGGGTGCTGGGACCTGAACCCAGGTCCTCTGCAAGAACAGCTAGTGCTCTTAACTGCTGAGCCATCTCTCCAGTCCTGCCCCTGGCATTTAAGGAAACATTTAATATGCTGCATATCCTAAAGAGAGGGTTAAAATTATGTGATAAGATACTTTGTTTTTTGTTTTGTTTTGTTTGTTTGTTTTTTCTCTGTGTAGCTTTGGAGCCTGTCCTGGCACTCACTCTGGAGACCAGGCTGGCTTTGAACTCAGAGATCCACCTGCCTCTGCCTCCCGAGTGCTGGGATTAAAGGTGTGCGCTACCAATGCCTGGCAGGATGACACACTTTTTAAAGAAGCCTGAAGAACCTTTCTTAGGCTCCCCATTTGAGAGCACACCATACCAGTCCCACAGGGACAGGGACTGATATGGAGGTACTTTAATGTGTGGCCTTAGGGGACCTGGAAGGTAAATGGAGGGATGACAGGGTGCTTCCTGCTTGTCCTGTGATCTCCAGCCTCCCTGAGGCGATTATTCTCTTTACCCACTAATCTCTGAGCTTTTGAAGCAGGCCAGCCTCCTGGTCCCTGCAGCCCAGCACAGGGACAGCCGGATGGATGCTCTCCTTAGCCAGATGGAGCACGGTTTAAAGCTGATATGTTGGTTAATAAGCTTTTCTTTGACACTAACTTGGGGAAGATGCTTCTGTCTTTAGACTTATTTCTTACATGATGACATTATTTATTTCATGCCAAGAAGCTCAAAATCCTTTTGCTACACTGAGATCTCACTCTTGCGGCCTGTGAAAAGATAATCCTCTTACAGAGGGTACTGTGCAATGGTAGGAAGTTTGGTCTCTCAAAGCCTCTGGTGCCCTGGTCTGGGCTCCAGGCACAGTTGGAGCTGAATTGTCCCAGGAGACCTGGGCATGGGGTGTTGAGACAGCAGCTGCTGGCAGGGGCACCCTGGGGGAGCAGCAGCCACATTCCTGTGCCTTTCTGCCCTCTGCTCCTGGCAGGGAGGTTTACAGCAGGGTTTTTTGGGGGTTTTTTTGTTTGTTTTTTTTTCTGTGCCTTCAAATTCACAGAGATCCTCCTGTCTCTGTCTCCCAAATGGGACTAAAGGCGTGCACCACCATGCCTGGCTAACTTTCTGTTTTTAATATGTTTGTTATATTTATAGTTTGGAGCTGAGTTTCGTCGGTTTTCACTGGAAAGGTCCAAGCCTGGAAAATTTGAGGAGTTTTATGGCCTGCTGCAACATGTTCACAAGATTCCCAACGTTGATGTGCTGGTGGGTTACGCAGACATCCATGGGGACCTGCTGCCCATAAACAATGACGACAACTACCACAAGGCGGTCTCCACCGCCAATCCGCTGCTCAGGATCTTTATACAGAAGAAGGGTGAGTGCCTTTGGATGGAGAGCAGCTTTGCCTCTGACCTGCTGCATACGCACCTTGCAAGGAGCTAAAGCATGGTGATGTCTCTGGCTTACTTAATGTGCAAGCCTTCTTTTAATGAATGGAAGAAAATCTGTGGAGAGGGAGATTGTGTGTGCGTGTGCATGGAATCGCACACATGTGTACAGGTATTCTCAGAAGCCAGAGGTGTCAGGTTCCCTGAAACTGGACTTACAGGGAGATGTCAGCCGCTGTGTGGGTGCTGGGAATCGAACCCTTGACTTCTGAAAGAACACTGCTCTTAACCACTGGGCCATCTCTCCAGTGCCCTCCTCTTAGATTAAAGTCAAATTAGAAGCCTGTGGTGGTGTGCGCCTTTGATCCCAGCTTGATTCAGAAGGAGCTCTGAGTGAGGCCAGCCTGAGTTCTTCTAAGACATCCCAGGCTACACAGAGAAACCCTGTGAGGAGTGGGGGGTTGTTAAACTAGGCATTTAGTGAGTCTTGTTGGATTTAGACAGCCGGTGCCGGAGTGACTGTAATGCCTGCAGCATCCTCACACAGACAGATTGAGGGAAAAGCAGCACCCAGCCCTTGGTGGCACCCAGCAAAGTCTTCCATTTTAGAATATTTTTTTATTCACAGAAATAGTGTGAATATAAAACTAGCTGGGAAATAAGAAGGGAAGTGCTGGCTTTGGGGGCCGTAAATATTGTCTCTCAAAAAGTATCTTGAGTCCTAAAACTTTTTTAGATTGCCCCAGCCCTGGGTATGAGACAAGGAGACAGAGACACAGAGACCGCAGGTGAGAAAGATGAAAGAGTCCTATCCTATTGGCCACTAGATCCTTTCTCTTTGGTAAATGAAAGATTTGAAAAGCCCACTTAAGAGCTTTCAGTGGTGTGGGATAAAGACCTTACAGTTTTCAGGCCAGCCCAGAAAGCGGCTTGAAAGGGAGGATGGCGAGCGTTAGATTGTTCCCAGGGTACTGACATGCCCGCAGCCTGGTTACTTTGCTTTTCTGGGTTTGGAGACTGAAGTCCGCCTGCCCCATCTGCTGAGAGGCTGCAGTATGTCCTGAGAGAGTTAGTGTTAATGCTCCCGAGTGCCCATAGGTGGATGGCAGGCTCCACAGCAGGTAAGCTGTGGGCGAGGCCCCTGTGTCTGCCTGTAAGAATCAGTGTGTACAGAGCCAGGAGTAGGTTGCAGAGAGGTAAGCTGGGGCACTGGCCGACAGCAAGGGGTGCAGCAGAACATAGCTGTGGTTTTGAGCCCATTAGTCAGTGCATTGTCAGAATCCAACAGAGGTGGGATTGCAGGGGAAATAATGCGTTTGGCCCTAGGCTTAACAAATGATCTCAACAGGCTTCAGAATTGACCACGCCACGCACATTAGAAATGACAACCTGGGGTTGGAATCTATATACCAGAAACGCGACAGATGTACTCGGGGGCTCATGCCTGTAGCCTCAGCACAAGGGCCCAAGGCAGGCAGAGAACTGTGAGTTTGGGGCCAGCCTGGGCTCCATAACAAGACCCTGTTTCCAAAAGACAAAGCAACATAAAAGCTGTGAGAGCAGCAGGACTGGAGAGCAAGGCAGTGGCTTGAAGCCAGACCTGGGGACGGTGGAGTGTGACCCATGGGCAGGTAGAGGAGGGACTCGTCATTTAAGGCTAATAATAGCCCTTTCTTATTAGCTGTAATATATGTGTAAGTACATACATTTTTTTATATTTGTTTTGTGAGGGGACAGAGACATACTTGCCACAGCACACTTGTGGAAGTCAAGGACAACATGGGAATTATTTCTTACACCATGTGGGTTCTGGGCATTTACAGAAGGAGACAGAGACACAGAGGGACAGGCTTGGCAGCAGACACCCTTACCAGTTGAATTGGGTCCCCTCCCCTTGTTCCCTGTCTTTGAGACAGGGTCTTACTCTGTAGCCCAGGCTGGCCTTAAGCTTACATCAGTTCTCCTGCCTCAGCTTCCCAAGGTCAGGGATTACACGTGAACCATGGTGTTGACTGAAAATAGCTTTTTAAGCTGCATCCCCCCACTGCATGTTGTCAGGGTCCTCCTTTGTGGAGTCTCAGTCTTGCTGCCGGTGTGGTTATTGGAATTTTATTTCATTATTTCACATCAGTTCATTGAGTTTCGTCTTTGTTTTCATTTGCCTTTTGTTTTGAGACTCATTGTATATCCCATGCTATAGCTCAAAATGTCGTCGATCGTGGCTTGCTCCCACCCCTGGCTTCTGAATACTGAGTTACAGGCATGTACCATCACAGCTTTGTGGCTGTCAAAGGTTAGAAGTTTGTTTATGTATATGGATAAAGGTTTTCTATGTGATAAAAATAGAATATCCAGTAAAATTAATAGCCCTTAGGATTGCAAGATGCCTCAGTGGAGAAGGTGATTGTCACGAAGTGTGATGTCCTGAGTTCAATCCTTGGGACCCACGGGTTATTAGGTGTGTGTTGTCCTGCCCCCCCCCCCCCCCCCCCCCCCCCC